AAAGAGTTATGGGGCTCAGAGAGTGTCTCGGCTTCTAATGACTGCAGGGCTGAGGTCGAGAAACCCTGGTGTGGAACATGCCCCATGTTGCCCTTTTCTTGATGTCGGCTGTTTCTATCCCTGATTAGATTTCGTCTTACCTAGTTTATCTCTTGCGGGAATTGCCTGTCTGTCAGTTTGTTGTGCTGTGGTGGCTTGTGTGTGGACGGGATTCGGGAAGCTATGTCACTGGGGTTTCCAATGCCAGCCAGGTCACCCACCGTGAACAGGGTGGGGCTACTGTCACTGGGATTGTTTTCCCGATTTCCTTTCCGAAGTGCTCCTTGTTACTGAACAGAAACCCAACGGCTTTTTGCGTGTGAGTCCTGAACCCTGGCTACTCCTATTCACCCCAACATCCTTCCTGCGGAATCTTTGGGGTGTCCTAAGGGTAAGAACACATTATCTGTGAATAGACAGTCCTATGTCCTCCTCCCCAATTCCTACACCCTTCATTTCCCTTTTGTGGCTTGTAGCTGTGGCTGGGCCTTCCAGTAGAGCGTTGAAGAGAGGCGGCAGATGGTATCCTCATCTGGTTTCCACTGAGAACACTGCCTAGTGCCTAACTTTCCTGTTTAAGAGGAACTCAGATGGTGGTGCGGGCCGGGCGTGGGCAGGGCACTCACCGATCACCTGCAGGCTCTGCTTAGTGTGTTTGGAGTAGATACTGTACAGCTGCTTCTTCAGTTTCATGATCTCTTCTGCCTGGATGGCGATGTCTGTGGCTTGGCCCTGGGGGATGTCCCAAGAGGCAGAAGGCAGCAGAGTCAGGGGTGGGGGTGGTACACACAGGACTTGGGCTTCCAGTTCTCAGAAGGGAAAGAGACCCTCTGAAGCCGTCTCCTCCTGGCCTCCCTGGGTGGGGGGCTTCCTGATACTCACCCGGGCACCACCCGAAGGCTGGTGGATCATGATTCGGGAGTTGGGGAGCGAGTGGCGCATGCCCGGCGAGCCGGCGGCCAGAAGCAGGGAGCCCATGCTGGCGGCCTGGCCAACGCACCACGTGCAGACAGGGTTCAGGATATACTGCATGGTGTCATAGATGGCCAGGCCTGAGGTCACCACGCCGCCTGCGGGAGGGGACAGGTGAGCTAAGGCAGAGGCAGGTCTTATGAGTCCTGTGCTCATGGTGCCCACCCCCCAGCCCCCCGTGTAGATTGGAGCAGGACTGAGCTCCACAGCAGATCACCAGGGCTTTCTTCCGCAGTGCTGCCACAGGGGTCTGACCCTCTAACCTAGTTGGTTTTGACTCACAGCAACCCCGTGGGGCAGAGAACCACCGCAGGGTTCTCTCCAGTCACCTTTAAAGGAGATAGCCAGGCATTTCCACTGTGGCACCACTAGGTGGACCGGGAATGTAAGTCTTTAAGTTAATGGTCCAGCACAAGCCGTTTGCAACCTTCTCAAAAAACAACACCACCACTGCCATCGAGTCCAGGCTGACTCACAGTGATCCTATAAAGCAGGATAGAACTGCCCGTGGTTTTCTGAGACTGTCAATCTTCACAGAAGCAGCTGCCTATCTTTCTCTCAGAGCAGCTGGTGGTTTTGAACTGCTGACCGTGTGGTTTGCAGCAAACTGTGTAACCCATCACCGCGCCTTTAAACCAAGGAGTCACAAATGTAAATGCCTCTAAAAGAAGGGAGGAGACAGACTAGGTGACACAGGCCAGGGGACTAATGTGGTCCGAGGGGGGCCCAGCCTATTACGTCTTCAATTGCACGAGAAATCGGGAATGCTCTGGACATGAACCCTGGCCAGTTTCTCACTTGTGTGACAAAGGGTTCGGGGATGGTGCAAATGGTTCCTACACGTGGCTGCCATTGAAAAGTCGGGGGTTCCAGCCACCTAGAGGTACTGCAGAAGAAAGGGGAGGCATTCTACTTTGGAAAAATCAGCCACAGAAAACCCCATGGGGCGGTTCTCCTCTGATGTATGTGGGGTTGCCCGGAATCAGGATCAACTACACTGCCTAGCTCCTGAGTCCATCGAGAGGTGCCTCGGAAGAAAGGCCTGGTGAACTTCCAGAAGACGAAAATAAAACAATACAAAGCCAACCCAAGTCATTGAAAACTCGGGTGCAAACAACTCTCCACTCACTGCCACCAAGTTGATGCTGACTCATAGCAACCCTACAGAACAGGGGCGGAACTGGGTTTCCAAGGCAGTAACTCTCCACGGGAGTCGACTTAACACAAGCGCTAGTCATGAGTCAGCTAACTCAATACACATGCTTTTGTTGTCTCTTTAGGGGGGTTAAAAAAAAAGCCAAACTCGATCCAGAATCGATGAGGTCACACCCGACAGCACAAATCTGGTGCCAGTTTCTTATCCTGGGCCTTGAACACAAGGACCAGGCACTCTTTGGAGACTTCAAGGCTGAAGTGCAGGCCTTGGTGGGAATCTGCATCTCCAGGGCGCATGCTCACATCTCCTCCCCCACCCAGGATCTGGGTCCCAGAGTCCCCGCGCACCAGGGCTGTTGATGTACATGTGGATGGGCTTCTTGTTGCTCTCCGATTGCAGAAACAGCAGCTGCGCGATCACCAGACTGGCCAGACTGTCATCGATCTGGGGATGGGGAGGGCAGGGCACGGCCCCCAGATTAGGGGAGAAAGGGGTTAAAGGAAGAGGGCTGGGGAAGAGTCAGAGAACTAGGAAGGGGGAGACTGAGGCGTGGCTTGGGGTACGTGAAAGAGGACTGAAGGTACCAGAAGGGGAGAGGGGCGGAATGGCTGACACTCAGGGACTGGCGGGGAGCGCAGGCATGAGGCGGGGGTGGGGTGGGGTGTCCTGGTTTCGGGGAGGTCAGAGCCTGGAGAAGGGTCGGGGAGACTGGGAACCCCGAAGGTTAGAGGGCTTAGGGCTCCGAAGAGGGGGTGTCGGAAAAGGGCCCTGATGTTATGCGGGAGAGGCCTGGTGGGGCTCGGGGTCTTAGGGGGCGACCGAGGGCACGTGTGCGCGGGACTCTCACCGGTCCCATGACGCACACGATGCGCTCGCGCAGCAACCGCGAGTAGATGTCATATGCGCGCTCGCCGCGACCCTGCAGCAGGCCGATGCAGGGGAGGTTAAACGGGGCCTGGAGGGCACCGCAGCCAGCCCGGAGCCCCGGCCCTTGTCCCCGCACGGCCGCCGTACCGTCTGCTCGACCACGATGGGAATGAGCGGGAGAGCCCGGGCTGCTGTCGCGTGCAGGCTCCGCTGTAGCGCCAGGCTGGGCTCGGGGGTCCGCCGCGGGAGGAGACGGGCGGCGAGGCGAGGCCCCAGCGCGGGCCACCTGCCAGCGGCCACCCGAGGCCCTCCCACCAGTACTCGGGACCACATCCCGCAGCTCGTACGTCTCGGCTTCCGTCCGATGGCGGAACTACAACTCCCAGCGTGCCTCGCCCCCTACGGAACGTGCACGCCAGGAGGCCAACTTCCGGGAAACTGGGCGGGCACGCTTAGGGGCGGGACTTGGGGGCGGAGCCAGGGGCGGGACTTGGGGGCGGAGCCAGGGGCGGGACTTGGGGGCGGAGCCAGGGGCGGAAATTGGGGGCGGAGCCAGGGGCGGAAATGGACCCTGCTGTAGAGCCGCAGTACTTGCTTGGAGATGTGTTCAGATCCCTGGGAATTTTCTTTTTCTTTCTCTACTCTTCACTCTTTTTGTATAAAATAGTTCGATGTAGTCACACCTGAGATGGGGATGGAGGCCCAGCGAGGCCTTGTTCTCCAGGAACTTTCAGCTGTTGAGGCCCACCCCGATCCCGACTTCCCGGCCATTTACGCCTTCAGTGGGAGGGAGTCCAGGGGTGGGTGTTGTGGACTCGGCTTGGGAGATGGGTCCGGAAAGATTTTCTAGGAGGAGCGGGTATTGGAGCAGGGCTTTGAGGGGCGGGCGGGTGAGGAGTGTGTTGGGGAAGGAATTTGTTGGGTGAGGAAAAGAATGGGGAAAGGGGGTGTTGGGTCGGGTCGGAACTAGGCAGCCCCCTTTTGGACTAAGCTGAAGCAGGTTCGGGCCCTGCACGTGCTTCCCTGCACGTCCCAGAGGTCAGCAGCAGTCGGCGCCAGGGAAACCTGATGTTCCCGTTCAAAGAAAGCCTCCTGGAGTCCACAAGCAATTCTCCCAGTTTCCAGTCGCCATATGCTAATTGCCATACATTCCTCACCACTCCTATAAAAACCC